TGTTGTAAAAAAATATATTTTTAGACTATTTTCAATAGTTTCGACACTCTGACTTTCTAGTTATAAGTAGTATATCCTATGTTAGTCCTATAATACTTTTGGTATCTGGTATATATTCAAATGCTATAGGAATATGTACAGATTTACATAATTAAATGACAGATTTGATTAAAAAAAAACCCCACCATTTTGGTCTTAAGTCTGTCACTACAGCGAATAGAACATGATCTGGATCTATGGATTGCTTTGGGATACCCGGTATGTTAAATGCAGCTGCCTGAGCAACACAACTATGAGACGCCATATAAAACTCAGAAACACACCACACAAGGATGAACGCAAATGCTAATCAAAAATGTTCACTCCATAACAACGCTAGTAATCTCTATATGCTGTGCTGAAACGCTGTATGCACTGACTGATATCCTGTCCGCTTGAATTCTCAGTGAAGCAAAGAAAAAACACCTTAAATAACCTGGCGGATGAGCATAAAAGATCGCACAAAGCAACATTTCAAGACCTGACCTAACTCAGTGTAATTAGAGCTTAAACCATTAGTTTAATTGGGATTAATTGATTATTGAAATCATTGTCAACTAATTTAGTTTTGGATTCATCGTTAACTGGAGTACAGAGGATCTAAAACATGTTTAATTGATAGAGCGACCCACTTATAGCAGTAATTATATCATAATTTAAAAAAATATGTAAACATTTTGCATTTAAAATAATTATTTTTGTCTGTCAACATGCTCAAGTAGAGAAGTTTTACTTTCACCTAGTTTAGTTTGGTGTAAAACCTTCTTTAAGGAACCTTCTGCTGTCCTATTATTTATCAATTAAATCGAAAAAATTATTGACAGATTAATCGATTTGTAAAATAATCGTTACTTGCAGCCCTAAATGTAATATTTCCTTATACTATATGCTCTTAAAATCTTAAGTTTTAGTTGCCCAACGCTGATTGATTTGAGAGAGTTACCCTCTAACATCAACAGGATATCTAGCTCATAGTTTATTAGGTGTTAAAGGAAAAGATAGAGCACTACATGATCAGCCAATTAATACTTTGCATAAAAATGAAGAATGGAAGAGACAAGTTAACAGGACAATAAGCCACCTCAAGTCGGCATGAGAGGCATAAGAGTAGAAAAAGTGAAACACATCGACATTTTAGCTAAATGGGACAAAAGGCTCTCTACCATGACACATGGCCTCACATAGGGTTACCTATTACTGTAAAACAGAAACATATGGGGGAAAAATATGCGTAAATAAGTGTTTATTCTGAATGTATGTGAAAATCCTGATACCTGCATAGGTTTTCAATATAAATGTTGTTCTTAGCTATTTATTGTCTCTTCTTACCTGCAGTGACCCCTCATTGTTTTCTGCCTCTGATTTAATGTCTTCTCCCTGACTCTGCTTTTTCTGTTGTGGCTATAAAGATTTCTCTTACATTTGTAAAAAGCAAAAATTTAAATACTGATTTTATTCTTACCTTGAACTAACTACCAATTTAACTTTGGTAACAACTCCATTGTTATTATTGTTAACAGGTTTAATTTCAATTCAATTCAGTTTATCTATATAGCACCAATTCACAATACTTGTCATCTCAAGGCACTTTACAGTTCAACCAGATCATACAGTCAAATTGATTCAAAGTTTTCTATCATTGACTCAAATTCAATCCCTCACACTAAGCATGCTTGTAGCGACAGTGGAGAGGAAAAACTCCCTTTTAACAGGAGGAAACCTCCAGCAGAACCAGTCTAACACTTTATGAACGTTTAACATTTTACGATGTTGTGGATTTAATGAGTCATGATTCAACTAACATTATCTACATGCAAAAGCATTACACAACTCACATGGTTTGTTTTCAGAACCCCCGCTATTAAACACGCTTGATGAAGTTTGCTAAAGTGGATGGGAGGGTCATTACTTTCTAACATAAGGCCAGATGGGTTTGGATAGTTTTATTTATCTTAGTAGATTAGAAAATGCCTCCAAATGCAACCTGTCTCTAGTGTTAACTAAAGTCATGATCATGACCTACTGACATCAGCATTATATGCCATGATTTTCCATCATATTTCTTCCTGTAAGAGAAGTCCAGGGGAATCTGAGCAGGTCATATTACAGTTCATAATGGCAGCCTGCGTGTTTGGTTAAAAAAAAAATCCACCTCCATCCTGTTATCTTAAATTAATCATTTTGGAAACAACCCATCCACATTTGATGAGCTGCTCTTTAGCAGTAAATGTCCAAATGTAATGTCTGGAGGTAGAGAAAAAACGGATACGGAGAAGGTGGGATCTGAGGGTGTCATTCCACGTTGAGTACTTTCTTGTGATTGGCTTATACAAGGAAGCTTTTTGATTGGTGGCAAACCATCCCGCTTAAAAAAATAATAGATTTGTGTATCGAGGTATGTCAAGGGAGTCTCAAAAATCCACACACAAATGCAATGAAGTTTAATGGCCACTGGTACTTTGTAATTTAATTTATAATTATTTATGGACCACAAATACTTTGGTGAATCACGTTTCGTGCATGTGTGGATCTTGTGTGAATCGTGCTGTGCGTCTGTGGATCTTGTCCTTTGTGTGTGTGGATTTTTTTGTGCTTGAGTGAATCGTGTTGTGCATGTGTGGATCTTGTCCTGTGCATGTATGAATCACATATCTGTATTTGTGAAAACTGAGACCAATCTAGCTCCGTAGTTCTGAGTCTCTAATGAGAACATGTGTCAGTCCCAGGCTTTTTTCTGTGAGGTCATCGTTGCTCAAAAATTCAAATGAGCTGATGAAGAACGCCTCGCTGTGATGCTACTGCCACCTCTGAGAAGTTGCTACTGTAACAGCTTTCTTACTCTAATAGGAAAAAAGATGATGCGTTTTTCTCTTGAGGTTTTCCTTCTTTAAAGATGACAGCAGAGCAGTCACAAATTGATAAAAGGCATTTCGTCTTGCACCACTGTGTCTGCAGGATGCAGACCCACAGAGACCAGCTCTCAGAAATTTCATTACCTCATTAAATCACTCACAAATCCTATCCATATTCAAAGATTTACTCAATGCCAATACAGCCGTGCTGAATGCTATTCGCTAAGCAGCCTTTGCCTCAAGCATTTATCACTACCTCAATAGTGATTAGGCGTATCCAATTCTAAAATGGGGGTTGTTGCTAGTTAACCTCTGTGAGCACATTAATTGCTGTGCTGTGTTTTTCAATTTCAGATTTTCTTCCTGGCACCGATTTAAAGAATATGTGTGAGACAGCAGCTTGGGATGGCGGAGTAGGAGGCAGGTGGAGATGATATTGGTTATACAGTCTCCAACATATGGGCCTGTCGTGTCCCATGTGTACATACCTGCCTCTGCTGCTGTCATCTAATTATGCAGAGCAAACAAAGCTATCTGCCTTCTGGTGCAAGCCGGATACTCTCAGTTTTGATTGTTACACGCCCAATGGACGTTGTCAAATGATTTTGCTTTTGTCATAAAATGCTTGTTGTAAGTTTACAAAATATTTTATTGGAAAAGTCATTTTAACTTAGATTTTTAGCTCTTGATCTGTATTTTTTATTCAATGTATTTCTGTTTAAAAGTGAGACTCAGACTCTGGCATTTAGTTAGATAGACGCTATAAGGACGCTATAAAAATGTGTCTTTGAAAGTTAAGGTTTTGCTTGTGTAGGTTTCTCTTTAAAAAGAAAAAATACTTGTTGCTAGAAAGTTTATCAACAGATTTATTTACTATCATTTGATTAAACTGAATGAATTTTACTCCCTACCACAGAGTACAATGTGACCAGAGATTGCTTTTACTTCCTGCACCAGTGTGACAAAATTAACAAAATAAAGCACTTGTAATCGATACCTTTGAAATAAAAAAGCCTAAATATGCAGCAAGGTATAAATATTGAATATAATGAGACAGATAAAAAAAAAAAAAGAACATGTCAGTCATGAGGGCAACCTCATGTCAAAAGGAACATGGTTCTAAGAGGCCCTTTTTTATAATCAAGACAACATTTCTATGTTTAGACTATATTTATGAAATTTGTAAAATATTTATGAGTTTTGTCTGGTTTGCATTTCTTTAATTGAACAATTCTATTTCCAAAAAAACAAATGTGATTTAAAAAATGTAAAGGTGAAATGGTCAGCAGTTCTAAGTCTTAACGGATTCTTCATGTTGTATTAATCAAACATGGATCCTACTGTTTTTCAAACATTTATTCCTTAGAAAACAAAGTAAGGGTTTGGACTTGCTTAGTTAAAGTCTAGTCTTGAATAGCAACGGCCATAAGTTGTCGCAGTTGCTCTTACTCTGGTTTTCTTTGTCTCTGTAATAGAGACAAGATAGAGGTTTTGACAAGATAGAGAAAACAGGAGAAATTTGTTTGTAGGAAACTACTTTCCCACAACTCTACATATCTTCTCTTTAACGCCAGGTCCCCTCAACTCTCAAAGGGATTTTTTTTTTCATTTTATTCTTTTTCTGTGATACATTTTGTTTAGAATTGTGCATACAACAGAAGTTATTTATTTCCTGGCATCCCTTTAATATATAAATAATTATTGCAAATTTAAAAAAATCTTGTTTAATTATTTATGTGCCTGTTGTAAGTACAAAGAGTCAGCACCTTTTTAATTATTTTATATTTTACTTATTTTACTTCCCCTTGCATTTTATGCATGTTTTATTGAAACAGGTTGCTCTATTTTACATCTTGTGTATAGTCTTTAGAGTCGACATGCAAAGATGTTCAACTTGACATTGTTAATACCCCTTATTGAATCTAGTACAAAAAGTTAATGAGTAACGTTTAAGAATAGTATCACAAACTGACATTTAGAGCTCCAGGGGGTTAATTGACATTAATTACATTTGAGCAGCCGAGAAGAATTTGACTACCACACAAAAAAAAACACTGTTCAGGATTACAGTTCAAAGCACTGAAATCCTTTTTTACTTTCTCCCTGCAGGGGTATGTGTGCAGAGTGGTGAGCTGAGTCTATGCAGACTCGTGGATGCTGCGCTCCCTCCTGGTTCTTCACGCCCTCCTGCTGCAGAGACATCACAGCAGGTCTTCCCAACCCTCCAGAGGACCACTTCTGCACCATCGCCCCTCCCTCTGGCCCTTGGTGGGGACCTCTCTCTGGCTCAAGCAGTGGCACATTGCCCTACATCCAGTGATGCTCAAACTATAGGCCCCCACCTTCAACGTGCTCCTCCACCACTTCCCCACCCAACTGCAGGCTCCTGGGCCCTAACAGGAGAACCACAGAAAACATCCCCTGCACTGACCATTACCCTCCCACTGTCTAGTACAATTATGGAACCTGGCACTGTGTCTGCACTGACAGAGGAGTGTCTTCTTCAGCCTGCTCAAACCTGCCTTGGCTGCCTAATTGAAACCCGTGACGCTACGGATCGCAGTACCATCCAGAACCCCCCAACTAACCCCAACACCAACCCTGATGCAGATCCTGGGCTTAGTGTACGGATAGGGGATGTAAGCCGAGAGGACTTTTCTGACATTAACGACATCAGCATTCAGTGCCTGAGCCATGCAGGAGAGCCGGCAAGCCACTTTGGTGAGCAACTCCTCTCCGACCAGCTACTTAGCTTTCCTCTTCCCAAAGCCCCAAATGAGGCCAAGAGAACTGAGGAAAATAAAACCACTGTGGACTGTGATGACCCAGAAGATGATGCCACAACTAAAAACCTGTATGAGGGCCTGCTGCTGGATAAAGTTAGTGGAGAGGAGGTCCTGTTGGCTAATGCGAGTCAGGACTGGGGCTATTTTGAGTCATTCATCAGCGAGAGTAAGATGGAACTGCTGGATCTTTGCTCCAAGAATGAACTTTCTGTCAACCTCTTCTCCGAGGAGGATGTCGACAATCTATTTGATGATGAAGACGATGATTCAACGCTTAGCAGTGATGTCTGCTCACTTAAGATTCGCTATGAATCATTCCAGGACAACATGAGGGAAAAAACAAATGTACTTCAGGAGGAGACGCAGTTCAACTTCTTCCCCAGTGTGCTGGCCAACTGTGCCAAGAAAGAGGAAGGATCGCCAATATTAAAGAGGAGCACTGAGGAGATCCAATCCAAAACGGATGATCTAATACTGGAGGCAGCACAGGAAGGAAGAGGTGGTGATAGCAGTGGTAGGAGCCCGCTTGACGGCTCTCAAGGCTCCCCCATGTCGGCCTCCAAAGTCAGCTACCTAATAGACTTTAATTCCACAGAGGAGTCCGGAGAGTTCAGTGATGATAGCTCGTGCACAGGCTCCTCCTCAGACACTTTGCAGGAGGGCAGGTTTAAAAAGGGTCACTCAAAGAGATTTCTCAGCCCCTCGAACCCTCTAAACTACGGCCTTCGGTCAAAGAGAAAGGTCCGATACAGCGATGATTACTTGTATGACGTCGACTCGCTTGAGAGTGAAAAGAATGCTGAAAAAAAGGAGAAAGGTCCCACAGGTCAGAAAGAAGAGGAGGATGTGGATTGGTGTCCGAAAAAACGGCGAAAATCCTATCGAAAAGAGCCGCCTGTGGTCATCAAGTACATAATCATCAACAGGTTCAAAGGAGAAAGACTCATGTCAGTAAAACTGGGCAAGCTTGATCCTTTGGATGGAACAGTCAGTCTAAATGCTGATACATTAAGCAAATATGAAACACTGGCTCCTCTGAAAGATTTCTGGCAGGAGAAGCAAAGACAGAGACAGGAACAGCTTAAGCTGGCTGCCAGAGATAAACAGCAACGGGGTTTTCATCTAAACGGACGCCACCATCGGCCTTTCAGTTCCAGTCACCCCAAAAGGAAATACAAAATTGCAAACAGGCTTAAGGTTCAGAGAATTCAAACTGTGGAGCAATCAGTAACAACACAGGGTTCCCCTCTCTCTGATCAGAGCCATGCAGGTGTCACTAAAGAGGACCCCTCCCCCACTGCAGGAGGAATAATAGCAGCCACAAGCCTCCCTGTCACATTAGACTCAAGCTCCACAACGCACACAATCAGAACCAAGAGCCGCTCTCAGGAATGGGAGGAGAGGGAGGCGAGGAGACATGGAGGAAAAGTCAGAATGAGGAAATTCAAAAGTGAGGCCAGGCTGAGGAGTATGAAAATGAAAAAGGCAGAGGAAAAGGAGGGGAGTGGTGTGACAAATGAAACGGATGCCTGTGTCAGTGCAGTACAGATTGAGGAGCCGGCTGCTGGGTTAGAACAGGCAGACGTTAGTTCAACTACAATCAAACCCAATTTCTCTGACAATACCACCAACACTCATGCATCCGAGGAGAAATTTCCTTTTGTCTCCTCCGCCTGCTCTCCTGACAAAGCACCTTCCTCAGAGGAGGTGGGGACAAGTGTCCCTGTCATCCCTGGGGGCTACTTGCAGACCCTGTTAGATGCTACAGATTCTTCTGGTGGAACAGCTATCTCCTATTTCCCCCAGCAGACGTCAAGGCAGCAGTATCCTTTGGGGCTGTCCCTGGAGGAGAAACAGTTTTCCTCTCTGCAGCTTGCCCAGAGCTGTGTGCTCTCGCCCCCCTCAGAGTCGGAGCTCCAGCAGTCTCCTCAGAATTGCCCCAGCTTCCCCCAGATGTGGCACCCGCAGCTCTGTACTAATCACAGCCAGAGCTTTGGGCCTGAGACCCCCGAGACTCCCATCTTACCCAACAACTTCCCAGCTGCTGCTGTGCCCCTGAATGACAGCTTGCCGGTGTCTAACTACAGCCAGCTGAGCCCTGAGGCTGACAGGCTGCTTTATGAGAAGAGCTACCTGACTGAGGCGGGGCTTCAGCCTGGGGCAGATCTGCAAGCATGTCAGTCGGCCTGCGTGGAGGGCCAGGTGCAATACCAAAGAGGGTCCCTGTGCACAGACAATGGTAGGCTCATCAGCTATGACTCAGTGGGCTCCCTGTCAGCCTCCTCCAGCAATTACAGCTCTCTCAGCCTCAAATCTTGTGAACGAGAGGGTGAGGAGGAGGGCCGAGACAGCTTTTTAGCTCACTGCAGCCCTAAAGTGGTGATTCAGCAAAGTGTGGATGCCCTTACCCCTCTCAGGGAGTCCTCAGACCTGCTGGATATCTCCAACTTCACTCCTGACAAGTTCAGACACTCATCACTGTCAGAACTTTCTCCTCCTGAGACCCCCAATCTGTCCCCCCAGGTGGTAGGGCGTGAAATGAAGATGGCAGGGAATGTTGGAGAGTACCAGGATGTTAGCGATATGACTATAGACTGCAATAGGGAGATGAAGTGGAACTGTGAAGCTATACAGCAACAGGAGCACTCAACAAATGCATACACTATGGAGGATGGTCAGTTTCCTCTGCACAACTTTAACAGTCAAGATGTCGAAGGCTTGGACAAAAAGGAGCTGGGAGAGTTTGAGGAACAGTCTGGTGCAAAAAGCATAAAGTCTAAGAGGAAAGGCAGCTGCAAGCAGACAGCCACAGGGCAAAGCCCAAAGAAAGGCCGTGCTCCCAGAGCTCCCAAGGCAGAAAAGGTCAAGACTCCTAAGCAAAACTCCCGGTCGACCAAAAAGATAAAGGCCATGTTAGAGGGCAAGGCAGCAAAGAATCAGGCTGGTGGTGTAGGCCTAAGTGAAAGTAATAGCACCGGGGACTGGTCGGGCACCGGTTGGTCAGAGAGTAACAGCCTGGTAGGGGATGACCAGAGAGAATTTGAAGAACCCTCCAATATTCTGTCCAACATTGTGTCTGGCATGGCTGAGGTCCAACGGTTCATGATGGCCTCTATCGAGCCTTTGTGGAACCCAATGTCCGAGGCCTGCATGCCCTCTGAGGCCAACAGCCTCAACCTAAAGACCCTAAAGATCTTAGCAGGCACAGAGGCTGACCTGAAAAAGAAAGGAGCCGTACTAACAGGGGCCGGTAGAGGCAGGAAGGCAGGTGGAAAGGGAGGAAAGAACCAGGCCAAATTCAACCCGGCCCACCCTCTGTTCCCTCAGCTCGCGCTGGGCTGCAACATGTTCGACAAACCCAGCTTTATTAACCCTGGGCCAGCACACAAAAAGCTCTACCGCCACAAGACCAGCGCAAAGTTCCCTCGGATTGAGACACTGAAAGGGAAGCGAGCTGAGAGAGACCAGAATAAGGACATAGCACTGATGACTTCTTATGAAAAACTGAGGTAATATTTTGTTATCAGCTGCTGTTGTTCCCCTCCTTCTCACTCCTACCCCCACAACCTGCTCAGCCCTCCCTCCCAAATATACCCACACTGATGCTATGCCAGAGCTGCATGAGTACTTCGTTTCCCCTGACTACTCCTGCTTCCTTTTAACCCCCCCTATTCCCCTGAAGAGGAAATGAATATCTGCATGAAAAAACTTCTTGTACTTTGCAAACTACCTATTGAGTGATTGTGTCAAGCTTGATTGAGATTTGAAACGACCATGGCTGCATTTTTTTTCTTGCTTTTATTGTTTCTTGCTTTGTTTGTTACTCTTCTAGTTGTTTTTGTTTTACTTTTGTCTGAAAAAAAAAGAGAATAAGCCTTGAAAACAGTTCTGTCGCCTTTTTGAGGAACTTTGTTTTTTTTTTTCTTTTTGTATTTTCTAAGCAGAACTATCTGCCCTGAATTTCAGATTAATTTTGCTTTTCCCCTAAAGATGTAGCTATATACACAAATGCATTGAGTGACATCTACGCACCCCACCCCCCTCCTCATCTGTTTTTGTATGCAGAATATGGATGTCCTGTGTTGCTGTCCTTCATACACTGCCTGGCTCATTTCAAGAGGGGAACCTACCGTTAATGAGCCCTATTTAAGAGCGAGACATCTTAAACACAAAAGATGGGACCATTTTGTATTGATGACATATCAGACGTCTTTTCTTTTTCTTTCTCTCCTCAAAGTTGGAATGACTCCCCATTTCCTTTTACTGAGTGTTTCGTTTACTTCTGGAGTTGAGAAGAACTAATAATCCAAATTTACATTTTTACGCCTTGCAAATTCATAAAAGCTCCACCCTCAGAGTATTTTTGTCAATGTTGTTGTACAGGGACATGCAATATTTGCAAGAAAAGATGATTATAATCTTAAAATCGATGTGCCAAAAGTAACAATGCTGTGTAAATGATCTCTTATATATGTGTGAATATTGGCTGTTCCTCTTTTCTATCCATTGGAATATTGGCTGCTCGGGTTGGAGACTCCTTACAGAGACTTGCAACTACAGGAATTCTTTATTTGAGATGTTTTCTCTCTCCTCTGACGAAAGGCACCAACAGCTGGCAGTGGTACACCGCCACTCACAAAACCAAATCAGAAAGACTCTGAATTCTCCTCATCCCCCCCTCCCAACTTTGTTTGCCAAATTCAATTTACCTCAACACCGCCTGGCATGGAGAAGCAACAAAAGAGAAGCAAAGGGGAGATGAAGGACTGGGTGAAAAGAGAGGTTCAAAAAAACCTCTCTCTGGACCAAGAGGCATGTTGTGGAAATGTCTGTGGGTAAGCAGGTAAATGACATGTCATTTGGGGCTGCGCCTTGCTGAATAGCTGTTTGTACTGGAAATTTAAGTGGGATTATCACTCGTAGAGATTCTGATGCATGCATCAGCTGTGAATGGACATTTTTGCAGTTCGGTTTATTGTGAATGTGAAAGTTTTCAGTACAAATGGAATCAGTAATCTTGTAAATGAAGGAAAGCATGTCTTTGCATTCACTCCTCATATAAGCTTTTATTTCTGGAAGGTAAATATAAAATGACAATTTTCAGAGATTCCCGTCCATTTTTAGTTTACTAACATTGCCTTAATTTATAAGTTACACCTCCGGTATCACATATCATCACATTTATTTGATATTATCAAAACTTTTATTTATTTACTGTGTATTATTTTTAAGAGTTTATCTGTAATTTCAGTCTATGAAAAATATTGTGACCAGTAGACATGGGCCGGTATGAGATTCTCACAGAATGATAATTTTGAGTTAAAAATACAACAGTTTTTCTGTATCACAAAGTTACACACACACAAAAAAAATATTAACGTTATCTAATTTAATGTATTTCAGTCAAAACAAAAACTCTACTGCTGCTAAAATAATATATTGACTTTTAAAGTATTAATAGTGTTTTCTAGTATAAAATTATTATAATTTTGATTTTGATTCACAGAGGGAAAATATAAATACCCCATTAAATTTAGTTTCGTTCATACATGCTTATTAGTTCAATAACAAGCTTCTTTGTAGTTTTACTCGTTATAGAGTAACACGAGAATAACAGGCCTGTTTTGGTTGGTCAATTAATCATGCTGTCTGCTCATGTAGCTAGCCTGCAATCTGCTGCTTTACAGCGGCTGATAATAGTTTTTAAACAGGGTTGTCTCAATTGAATAATTAGATTTTTATAAACTTATAGTTCTGTGAGGTTATTATCAGTAATTACCTGTATAAGAAAGATGTCCCATAACAATGATGATAATAACTAGTAAAGAAATCTTTAGAGTGAAGGAGTGGGAGAAACCTAATTTTTTGTGGAATTTAGCAAACTAAATTAACTCAAAAAAGGGTAATTATTAAATTTATTCTCTTTTGCAAGCAATCGTTAATCTGTATTCCCATGCTACAGTTCCTACCATACTGCTACTTTGCCCGTCGAGCTTGATCGGCTGCAACTGTTAAATAAAACTGTTGGATTTTTTTTTTTGTTGTTGTTGTTGATCAGGCTGTCATTTATAAAAAGCAGAATTGCAGATGGTCCCATCCTGTGCTTTTCTTTATATTTTGAAATTATAGCTGTGATATGCTGGCCATGCAAACTAATAAACCCAGTGGCCTTCCTTTAGAAATAACTTCATCTTGGTAAAACATTTGCTATTTTCCAGTTCTTTGTAATTTGTGCCTCATATTTAAACATTTTCAGTTTAAAATGTTCTAATTTACTAAATGAAGGGTTCCCCCCCCCCCGACTAGAACTTAGCCTACCAATACTCTGAGGATTTCTTTGCTCTTTCTTACTTACTGTGATATAAATTGTCTTACAAGTAAGGGCTCTATTGCTAATTATAACTTTACAGACGTTCACTTTGAAAAAAAATTCCTTTTGATAAAAGTTATAAAGTAGGTGGCTTTTTTTATTTCATATGATCTGTGCCAAATATTTTTTTTCAAACTGCCAAGTTTGTTTTTCATATAAGCTGGCTGGCTGCCAATCTGAAACAACTGGGGAAGGGGAAGCTATGTATTTCTCCAGCTAAAGCTCACACCTATTACTCTGACACTTTCTGTGTCGTCTTATGAGACGTGCTTTGAATTGTTGTATTGGCATGACAGAACAGTTTCAATAGTTTTTCAAACAGAAACATTTTAAAACCCTGTCGAACCTTGATAACGCGAACCGGCCCATGCCTACTCTACTGAGCAGTAATATATGACCACCGTTGTAATGATCTATTTCACAGCCAGCATGTTGACTTTAATGAGCGGTGATAACATTAGTGTGTTAAGAAGGGCTGCATTCCACTAAGATGAAGTTCCAGTTTTGCACACATTCTGCCTAAACAACTCGCACAGATCCAGCAGTGGAATGCTGCCCTCTGTGAGACATCTATGGCTTCACTGCATGTTTAATTCAAAATGTCTGTCACCTCCCTTTGGGCTCATTCTCTACCTCAGAGCACCAAACAAAAGTTTAGAAATCAGATTTAAAAATAGACCTAACAATCATATTTAATAAGAAATTAAATGTTTAGATTATATTTCATAACTTACATTCAGGACAAATGCAGAGCCAATCAAGCAGTTGAGTATCTTACACATATCTACCGAGGCAAGGTCTATGTTTTTTCCTCTGTTTTGAACAGTAAAATTTTGAACACAGCAGTAATTACATAAGACTGCATGGAGAGGTACCGGCAAACTGATTGATTGATTCCAAAACAGCCTTTGTCACATTGAATATGGCATCTCTGACACACAGGTTATAGAAATTGATTGCTTGCATACGGCAAGGATCATAATCAATCTTTTTGTGTCTCTTTTTTTCCTTTCTACTCTGTCATGAAAAGCTGGTTACTTTCTATAGTGTATCAGGGTTAGGGCCAAGACAAGCTGCTGATGGGAAGCTCCACATGGGCTGAAGGCCCATTTAGTCTGCCTTCTCTCATTTCTGCCTATTGTCAAATTGAATGTACTTATCTAAGTTCATCTAAATTTTTATTTGATCACTTTACTTTTTTTCTTAGTTTTTTTTTTCTTTATGTTTATAAAATGTGCCACTGTTGAGCTGCCTCATGTTAATGGTGCTAAGAAAGCAGAAAATTCCTTTCTTTGGGTTTGACTTTTTTTCCCAGCGTTATCTAAAAGAAAAAAAAAGAGAAATGCAAAACAGATTAGGTACCTAACCCTGTTTATGAATGTATATTACGATGTTATGTTTTGTTATGTTATGTTTGATGTATTCACTTCATGATTCTTTGACACTGATTGGAATTACTTTTGCTCTTTTCATTAAAAGAATACCGAGCTTTATATATACTGTCTAGAGTTGTTACCAGAAGGAATCTTAATGAACTCTTGACACTACAAAATCTTGTATATTTTTTGTGTGCCAATTTGTAACATATTTTGTAAGTGTATATTTTTCTTAGAAAGTGCTGTGAAGTATTTGTGTGTGTGAGTAACCTTTTATGCGCCTCTGTGGGCAGTGGAAAGGATATACGACGACACGTTTCTGGTTTTAAAAACCAAAATATGAAAGTATCAACAGAAAAACTAGAAATATTTACATTTTGTTGGGAGTTTTGTAATAAGATCATGATCTTGTTGTGAGAGTGTTGTGTTACTGTGCAAAACACAAATAAGCAAAGAAAAAAAAAACATGAAATCTTGGGGAAAAAATATAATTTGTGAACAATTTGCTGTTTTATAGATTTTCATGTAAATTATTTGAGTATTATTTTGTTTTTGTTTTTTTGTTTTCTTTTTTTGTTGTAACTGTTGCAAAGGTTTTAAATATTTGTGATCAAGCCTGTATGGTGATAATGTAATATTGGTAACTTGCTGAGTTTTGTAATAATGTTTATGGAGTAAATATACAAATTAAAATAAGATTTTGAATGCTGCTTTCTGAAGAGAGTTGGATTGTGTTTATTACTGCCCACTTTATGACTTTATTATATTAAAGAGAAACATTAACTTCTTTATGAAGAAATTAAGTGTACCGGTAGTTAATATATAAAGGTTATCTTGATTTTGTTGAACTACTGGATAGATATGAAGAGAAGGAATGAGAAATAAAGTTTATCCTCCCTATTTAATGTGTAGAAAGTCAACTGAGACTGATATAAATGCAGTGCTATTCTGCACAAACTATGTATTCCAGCCTCTATATTCTTAGCATTAAGCAGGTGGAGCCAACTCCTCATTAATAACACATGCATAAAAGCAGAAGAACACAATTGATGTCAAAGTTAAAGATTTTTTTTTCTTGTGCACTCGTCTTTCTATAATGTTTCCCTGTTCATTTGCCTATTTGGCCTATATCTAAAAAAAACAAAACAAAACAAAAAAAACTAATATGTAATTTTGATAAGCCAATATTCCTGCATGTTTCAGTAAACTAACATTGATAGTTGCATGGATAATTCTAATCTCTGAGTTGTTATCTGTGCTGCCAAGTGCAAACCCTGTCTACCTTTATATCTCCAATTAGTCTCTCCATGTTTGTTATACAGCGGGATTCTTAGACAAAAGCCATTTTAATTTCTTTACAAGTCTTGCTTTCGCTCCCACTATCTTATGTCACATCTAATTAGCACTCAGGGTCAGGCATTGCCGGAGTGACTGCTCATCCATAACTTTGAGCCGGGGCCGCCGCGGTCCTTGCAGCAACTCATTTTGGCATGCTTAATTGGAGCCTGAGATACAGCCTCGCACCATAAACAGACCCTGTGATGTATGCCTCCAAAATTGTCAGCCGGTATTAGCATTGTTTTTGTTCTTTACTCACCCGTAGCAGATAGGGGAGCGAGCAAATTATAAGATGGAATGTCTAATGCAATACATCAGGTGCACCTGTAGTTATTAAATGAGATCCTGCTTGTTTTGTCATTGCCTGCTTAAACTGCTTGGACAGAAATAGGAAGCTCTGTCACTAAGACAACTGTTTGTCACTTGTTTTGTGTTTGCTTTTTTTTTATGATTGCTAAGAGGACATCACTGTGACATGCATGTCTAATTTTATGTATTGTAGGAGCTCAAGTGAAATCGAAAAAAAAACTAAAGACAACAAAGTTTTCAAAAGGATGGTTATGCATAAGAGACTTAATTTAAATGAAGCCTTTTGATTACAGTTTTACAGGCAAATCTGATGTGTTCAGTTGATTTCCCTAAGCCGAAGCTCATCTAAAAGATGCCTAAAACCAAGATTGAGGTATATATCGATTAGACTGAATATCATTTACAGGCTAAATTATTTGACCAATTAAATATAAGAAATAAAATCATAGAAGGATGTGTTTTTACTGTTTTATAAACACTTGACAAATGTAGGTTACAGCTCCCAAAAACCCATTACAGTTTATCTGATATTTTTAACCCACTACACCAAGAGAAAAGTATTTTTAATCAAGGAATGTATTACTGTGGCCTAGGATAACAACAAGGATAAGTAACAAAGGGTCGGTGCAATAGGTGTTGGCTGTTGTCGTGGTGCTGCATCCTGGCATAAAATTGGAAAGTTTAGAGGAAGGAAAAACCATATCCATAAGATGATTCTGAGGCAAAAGCCTAATCAAAGGTTTGGCTGGTAGAGGTTTAAAAGGTTTGGACTCGGGCTGGATTTAGTGCTTCAAGAGCCATAAAAGCCAGTCGAAACAATTGCGCTCCTTTCAGCCTTTCTTGAACCAAAACACAATGTCAACAGTGTAATTTTTGGAACTGAAAGAAGAAATTTACCTAAACCCCATAAAGGATCAATGAGGTGTTATCAAGAGAATTATGAGACTCCTGAACCAAATTCACACAATGTTTCTTCCTCCTAGGTATAATCATTAACAGAAATGAATGCTGGAAATATACTGTGTATTAAATCTTGGAAATATAATGATTCATTGTTTCAAATAGTACACACCGTTGTAGGAAATCTTCAATTTCTTAGCAATTTCTCGCATGGAATAGCCTTCATTTCTAAGAACAAGAATAGACTGTCGAGTTTCAGATGAAAGTTCTCTTTTTCTGGCCATTTTGAGCGTTTAATTGACCCCTCAAATGTGATGCTCCAGAAACTCAATCTGCTCAAAGGAAGGTCAGTTTTGTAGCTTCTGTAACGGGCAAAAAACTGTTTTGAGATGTGTGAACAAACACATTGTACAATTAGAACAATGGAGTGATAGTTGCTGGAAATGGGCCTCTATTCATCTATGTAGATATTGCACCAAAAACCATTTGCAGCTAGAATAGTCATTTCCCACATTAGCAATGTAAAGAGTGTATTTCTTTAAAGTTAAGACTAGTT